TCCAGGCTTCAGTCACTAACATTTTTACTGATTCTTCTGTCACCATGATTAACCCCGACACTCACTATCACGTGCAATTCTCACAACCCTACGAGGTAGGTATTATTTTTCCCAGCTTACAGATAATGACACAGAGTTTAAGAGGTTTATCCACGCTACAGGGCTGCTGGGAGCCCGGCAGTCTGGCCACAGAAGGTCGGCTTCACGGAGGGGCAGGGTTTGGCGGTATCCCTTGAATTTAAGGAGTCTTGGGGGCGCAGTGCTTCTTCATCATTGGGCAACTCATTTTAGCCTCTTGGGGTTTCAGTTTCTCAACTGAGAACAAGGAATTTAGGTTGAAATGAACACGCTACAAAGCTTTCAAGAATTGCACATGTAGAATGTTCTTTGCGTGTCTCCCAGTCTCCCACCTGCCCCCGACACAGAGGTGCAGGAGTAACCCTGCTTTCTTCCGCGTCCTCGCCCCACCACGCGCTGCGCATTCTTCTCGCCCCCTCAAGTGGCGGAGCTCAGAGTGCAGTTACTTAGGTCTCAAAAATAAGGAAAGGCTGCCCCCTGCTGCCCACATGGATGAATGACCCCCAACCTGATACCTGCCTAACTGATTTTACAGGCTTTTATGGAAAAAACGCTCCATGTGCGCTTGGGCATACCGTCCAGAGAGGCAAAACTGGGACAAACGCCATCGGAATTTTAAAAAGCCATGATGCCAAGACAGAGTGGTATTATTATTTATAAGGCCAGTCCGGAGGAGGGCCCCCACTAGGTGATTAAAAGATGCTAACTTGGAGGATGAATTATTGATAAGTAAAAGAGGTGAGTAAGACAGGAAAACATGCAGAAATAGATCAAAATAAACTGTGTCTTTCAATTAGGAAAGGTACTGGGAAGAGGCTTTGACACATTCCAATGGATGAAAGCAATCAACTGTTTTTTTTTTTTTGTTTTTTTTTTTTTTTTTGACAGAGTCTCGCTGTGTCGCCCAGGTGCTGGAGTGCAGGGGTGCAGTCTCAGCTCACTGCAACCTCCGCCTCCCAGATTCAAACGATTCTCCTGCCTCAGCCTCCCAAGTAGCTGGGATTACAGGTGCGTGCCACCACACCCAGCTAATTTTTTGTATTTTTAATAGAGACGGGGTTTCACTGTGTTAGCCAGGATTGTCTCGAACTCCCAACTTCATGATTCGCCCACCTCGGCCTCCCAAAGTGCTGAGATTACAGGTGTGAGCCACCGCGCCGGCTGCAATCAACCTTTTATGCAGGTTTTTGGTAGCATGTTGCGAGGTCCATCACTATTCATGCCCTGGATATACCATCTCCTCTTTTTCTTTCTTCCCTAAGTTCTAAGGGCCATGCCCTGGCACCAAACTTATGGCACTCCTAGACTGCCGTCTGATGTTCACCACGGCTTACCTCTGCCCTGTTCTAGTCAGGGGACAAGCTGTGGGTCCCAAGCCTGGCATTGTAACAGAAACACCCAGGGTAATTTTCTGTTTGGTTGTTTATTTAAATAAATAAATAAGTAAACTCAGTTTTGGAGATTTTTACTCAATAGGTCATGAACACTACTCAGAAATCTGCATTTTTCACAGTTGTCCAAGTATTTAAGTCCCCACTGAGCAAATTTAGGACAAGGAAACAACTTCTTACATAAATTCTACATGACTTCATACATACCTTCATACATAAATTCTACATGACTTCATACATACATTTCTTTGGCAAAAAAAAAAAAAAAAGACTTTGTAAATTAAACAAGTAGGTTTTTAAAGTGGCATATTTTATGTAAAGCCAAATTTTCTTGTTTTTTAAAATAGTTAAGTTTGACTTTCAATAGACAATAGAGCTATATGACCCTGAAATGGAAACAACACAGTAACGTTGACGCAGGGAAATGTAACTTTTACTTCCACTTTGTTTCTGTCTACTCCATTCATTCTTTTCTTTTTTTTTTTTTTTTTTTTTTTTGATAGAGTCTCACTGTGTCACCCAGGCTGGAGTGCAGTAGTATGATCTTGGCTCACTGCAACCTCCGCCTCCTGGGTTCAAGTGATTCTCCTACCTCAGCAGCCTCTGAAGTAGCTGGGATTACTGGCACCCACCACAACACCCAGCTAATTTTCTTTTTTTTTTTTTTTTTTTGTACTTTCAGTTTGCCGTGTTGGTCAGGTTGGTCTCGAACTCCCGGCCTCAGGTGATCTGCCTGCTTTGGCCTTCCAAGGTGCTGGGATTATAAGGGTGAGCCACCGTGCCCGGCCTACTTCACTCATTCTTAATAGGTCATCACTCTTGTCAGTTTCTGTTGTATCTTTATAGTGTTTCTGTACACAAAATCAAGTAAATACAAAAGTATAATTCTTTTTTTCCCCCCTCTGTTAGACAAAGGTGGCATCTGGTTATGCTATTCTGCAACTTTCTCTTTTCCGGTTAATAATATATCTTGGAGAATTTTTCCATAACAATATAAAATATTGCCATTCTTTTTTAGCATTGAATATTACTCCACTGTGTGACCATATCACGGTTTATCCAGTCCCTCACTGATGGGCATATAATTCAATTTTGTCAGTCAAATTAGTGAAAAGTGTATTTTGATGAAGTTTTTTTATTTTTATTTTACATTTCTTATTGTGATTTTTTTTTTCCCCTGATAGTTATGTACTGTTTGTATTTATTTTTCTCTGAACAATTTACTCTTTGCCCATTTTTATCGGGCTGCTGGGTTATTTTCTTATTGATTTTTAGGAGCTTACCGTATGTTGAGGAGATTAGCCCTGATGGTGAGAACTGGGAATATTTTTCCCAAATTGTCATGTTATTTTGATTCTGTTTATATTTTACCATGCAAGTGTGTCATCATTATGTAGTTAAGCTTGTCTTTTTTTTTCTGGATTTTAACTCAGAGCTTCAAACCCTCCAAGTGACACACAGCCTCGGGGTGGGGCCAGCGTAGTGACGGGGGCTGTGGCTTCCCTACAGGGAGGTGCCCCAACCTGGTGGCAGCTTGAAGAGGGGTGGGTACTGGAGAAGACCAGCCCCTTAGCCAAACAGCCTTACAAAGACACCCAGCTCTGAGGACCTCAAAACATCCTGAGAACAGTGCCCGGAGGCGAGAAGGAAGCCCCCGGCCTGGTCCATACCCCGCCACCAACTTGCACAACGGGGAGTGATGTCATCCACCCTCCACTCCCCTCAAAGGAGCAGCTGCTTTGGTGGTTTCTCCCAGGCTCTGGCGGTGGACCCATGGGAGGGGCTTTTTGTACAAAGCTGTAACATTGTGGGGACAGGGGGGCCACAATGATTCAACTCTATGGGAAACCTTTACAAAAACCTCTCTGGCGGTCCCAACTCCCAGAGTCCCTCTTCTTTCTTCCTGGGTCACAGGTCTTAATGCAATCTGGTTCAGAATGCCTCTGCCTCACTCCTGATCACATGTCACACCAAGACCATGGACAAGGACAGACCCAGATGAGAATTGAAGCTTCCCAAGCAGAGAGAGCTCAGACATAAGAAGAATGCCTCAGGAACCTCTCAAGTGGAGGACTCAGGGAGGGTCCTGATCCCCACAAAATTGAGACAGTCGAGTGGAAGGTTCATTGGAGGTGACCAGCTCTCCAGAGGATTTGGGAAGAAGTCAGGGCTGTCTATAGATGGAGTCATAGGTTCTGGGCCTCGCCGTCCTCTGCAGGCCACGCCCTTTCCCTTTCAATGGACCCTCAGAGAGGGAGCATGAATGGGGTGTCCTTTGAGAAAGGGACCTAGGACCCTGTGGATGGACTCTCACTCTCCATGGTCCTAAAAAGCAAAAGTCAAAGTGTTCTTCTGTGCAATACCCATACAGCACAGGAGGAGATTTCTTAGCTCACTGTCCTCCACCCTAGCCAGGACCCTCTCCCCACTCTATGCCTTGAATGTGATTTTCACCTTGACCCCTGTCACTGTGTGAACACTGAAGCTTTCTTTGGACAAGGCACCAGACTCACAGTTGTAGGTAAGACATTTTTCAGGTACTTTTGCAGATCCGTCATAGGGAAAAGTGGGTCCACTTTTCCTTTTAGAGTGGCTGTATTCTTATGTGCTAACTATGACTACACCTTCGGTTCAGGGACCAAGTTAACCGTTGTAGGTAAGGCTGGGGGTCTCTAGGAGGGGTGCGATGAGGGAGGACTCTGTCCTGGGAAATGTCAAAGAGAACGGAGATCCCAGCTCCTGGGGCCAGATTAAGGGAGACGTCATCTCATGTCCCAGGAGTGAGTTCAGAGGAGGCTCCCTGTAAGGGCAAATCCACCCAGGCTTCCCAGAGGCTCTGAGCAGAGTCAGAGCTGAGCCCAGGCTGATGGGGCAGAAAAGGGAAGGAGAGGGTGCCTCTCCTCATAGTGCCCTGAGACAGGGGAGGCCAGAGAGCCCGGTGGGTAATTAATGAGTCACAACACCTCTCCATCCATCTGCTTCACTAACAGAGGTTCTCTGTAGAATCTTCGTATGTTCTTGTGCTGGATTTTATAGGAGGCCACTCTGTGTCTCTTTTTGTCACCTGCCCGGGTCTTGAGCAAGCTCTAGAAGGGAACATAGAGTGCTGGAAGCAGAGCTGGTGTCTCTGTAAGGGAAGAGTTCCATGAACTCCCAGCCTCTGCCTGAATCCCAGCTGTGCTCAGCAGAGGCTAGGAGGTTTTGAAGCGGCCCTCGGAGGCTGTGTTCTGGAAACACCGTATATTTTGGAGAGGGAAGTCAGCTCACTGTTGTAGGTGAGTAAGTCATGACCAGACAGCTGGGAACTTGCAAAAAGGGGCTGGAATCCAGACAGAGCCTTGTCTCTAGTGCTTAGGTTAAAGTGTATTTTTATCAGGAAGACCTATGAGGGAGATGAGGAGGGGATAGCCTCCCTCTCCACTATTTTGTAGACTGCCTGTGCCAAGTTATGTTCCCCTACTGAGAGATGGGTAGACTCAGCTTGGAAGGGGTCACCTTGAGCATCTCCTGTCTCCTTGAAGGGTGCCAGTCATGGCCATGACAGATAAAGGAGCCTCTGACCTTACCACCACGGTCCTGCCATTTCTCTCCCTCACACAGAAAGGAGAAGGTCACAGAAGAGGGAACTTGGGGGATCACATGGGGCCTCATGGGTCTGCTGACCACTGCGTTTCGGATTGTGCCATTGTCTACCCCTCTACCTAGCAGGGTTAAAAGTCTACTAGGGAACAGGAGAGGACCTGGCAGGTGGACTTGGGGAGGCAGGAGTGGAAGGCAGCAGGTGGCGGTTTTCCTCCCAGTCTTTAATGTTGTGCAACTAATGAAAAACTGTTTTTTGGCAGTGGAACCCAGCTCTCTGTCTTGGGTATGTAAAAGGCTTCTTTTGGGATAGTGTATCATAAGGTTGGAGTTCCAGGAGGACCCCTTGGGGAGGGCAGACACTGAGAACACAGCCAAGAAAAGCTCAGAAAATGTGGGTCAGTGGAGTGTGTGGTGGGGCCCCAGGAGTTCTGTGTGGGAGCAGCTTCTGGAAGGAAGGGCCCGCACCAGCTCCTCTGGGGTTTGCCACACTCATGATGCACTGTGTAGCAATCAGCCCCAGTATTTTGGAGATGGCACTCGACTCTCCGTCCTAGGTAAGTTGCAGAACCAGGGTGGTAGGGCCATTGACCCCTAGAGGCACAGTTCTCTGCTTCTCCTTCCAGCACTGGTGAGGAGGATTGAGTGAAATTTCTTACCCTGTGGAGCTCCACAGAGCTGTGCCTGCCTTCCCTTTTGGTGTGTCTTGGCTGACTCCTCTATTTCTCTTCTCTAAGTCTTCAGTCCATAATCTGCCTCCTCACTCCCTTCTCGGCTCATCCTCCCTCTTATGTGCATGACTCTGCCTCCTAAGCCTCTTCCTCTTGCGCCTCATGTCGCACAGTATGCTTAGACCTTTTTCCTAACAGAATCCCTTTAGTCCAGAGCCGTGAATCCAGGCAGAGAAAGGCAGCCATCCTGCTGTCAGGGAGCTAAGACTTGCCCTCTGGCTGGAGATCTCCAGGTGGGTTTTATCTAAGCCTCTGCAGCTGTGCTCCTATAATTCGCCCCTCCACTTTGGGAACGGGACCAGGCTCACTGTGACAGGTATGGGGGCTCCACTCTTGACTCGGGGGTGCCTGGGTTTGACCGCAATGATCTGTTGCTGGGAAGGGAATTGGATGTAAGAATGGAGGTCAGGGTCATCCCTTCCTACCTGGAGTGCTGTGCCCTCTCCTCCCTTCCCTGGAACTCTTCCAGCTTGTTGCTCTGCTGTGTTGGCTGCAGCTCCTCAGCTGTAGAGCTCCTTGCTTAGTCTTCAGGGCTGTGTGTTTTTTCACTCTTCTTTTCATTGTTTTCTGGGACTCTTCTCATCTCTACTTTCTTAGTGGATATATTGTTTTACTTTCCCTTTTTTAAATTGCATCTTCTCCTTTTTTATCTTCCTATTCTAACTCCAGTTCTGCATTGTTGACTCCATTTGGTGACTAGCTCTGTCTTCTGTCTTAAGATTCTCCCCACTGCCAGCCTCCAGCACAGAACTCTGCTCATGCCTTCATCTTCCTCCTTCTTTCTCTACTAGTCTTAGAAGATACATCTATGTCTTCCTGAGGTAGTTTAAAGGTTCATGAGCCAGGGGGGACCAGGCTGGGGAGACGAGTGGTTTCAGGGCTGCTCTTGAAGCCTGAGGGCAGAAGTCCCTGTCACAGCACTGGGCGAGATGCAGGGAGTCTCTGAGGTGCCCTGTGCTTGGCAGATGTTTGGGAGATAGATCTAAAGAGAGTGTTACAACTGGAAACTGACATTATCTTAGCAACAGATAAGGTATAAAGAAGACAAAATGGGTAGGAGACTATTTTATTTTTTTCTGAGATGGTGTCTAGCTCTGTTGCCCAGGCTGAAGTGCAGTGGTACGACCTCGGCTCACTGCAACCTCCACCTCCTGAGTTGGAGTGATTCTCCTGCCTTGGCCTCCCAAGTAGCTGGGATTACAGGTGCCTGTCACCACGCCCAGCTACTTTTTGCATTTTTAGTAGAGATGGGGTTTCACTGTGTTAGCCAGGCTGGTGTCGAACTCCTGACCTCATTATCCGCCTGCCTTGGCCTCCCAAAGTGCTGATATTATAAACGTGAGCCACCGCACCCAGCCGAGACTTCATTTTCTTAAGCCTCAGAATTTATGCTGGAATAATAGCGTAAAGGCCCCACCAGGAAGCCCTAGTACAGCCTTCCCCATGCTGGGGAGGAAGCAGACAGGCAGTGGAGCAGGGTTGGGATGGGATGAGGTCTAGGATGGAGACACAGGCAAGGATGGAGGAATGGGATGCACAGGGTCTACCGAAGGTTAGGGGCTTGGGCAGACATTCACGTAGGTGGGGACACACACCAGGGAGTTGAGTGGAAAGTACAAATCACCAGATTCAAAGGCCTGGGTTCAGGGGGCTGTGGTGGGGGAGGTGTGCAATTTGAAAAGCAACTTAAGCTGCCTCCTTCTCTCTAAGACATAGAAACAGAAGGGACTAACTTATATGAAAATCCTTTGTAAAGGATTCCGTAAAGGATTCAACTTGTGACAATCCTTTTCATTCCTGTTGTTTATCATCACTGGGTCACAGGGTTTGCCTTTTTCCAAACCTGCATCTCAATTTTCCCATCAAAAACATTTCCCAAATTTGGATAAAGAACCCCTATCTAGACTTGCCACATTTCTGCACCAAAAGCTCACGCTCGTGGTTGGCACAGAGCCAAGCAAAGGGCACGGTAAATTGTGGTTTCTTCCACTCCTCATGTGTCTTCAGATGAGATCATTCATTCCAATGATCCCAGAAATTCTTTTTCTCCTCTGTCAAGCATGTGAAAGCGTCCAGAGCTCTGCAGTGTGAGCCTTCTACTGAAATGGCCCTTGGACTTTGTGGTTCATTCATACTCAATGGTCTAGCTTGCACTACCTTTGAAAATGCAAAGCTTAGCTGTGGATGGATTCCAATCCTGGCCAGGCAGGGTTGCTGGACACTCTGAGAGAAGAAAGGGTTAATCCCATGGCCATCAGCTTCCATGGGATTTCAGCCATCCTGGACAAGCTACCACACCCTCCTGTGCCCCAGGGGAGGAGGAAATGTGGACCATCCCGTCAGATATTGACGAGGTTTGGCTCTTTAAAGAGGGTTACATGCAAGAAAAGAAAATTTTTTAAAAAGGTTCTGGGCAGGTGGGGGAGTCAGATGTAATGGAAAAGTGTCTTTTCTAGAAAAGAAAAGCTAATTCTAATATGTATTACTATCCCACGAGACAAATAAATACATCTTGATTTAAAAAAGGAAAATTATAAATAGAAAAAATCAATTTAGTTATTGTAATTATGCCACTAATGAGAGTCTCCTACCTCAAGTTTCAGGATTACATAGCCATGCACCAGGTAAGGCTTTGAAGAATAAAGCTACACAGATAAATTATTTGGATAGATGATCAGACAACCCTCAGTAAAAACAGCCAAAACAATCAGGATATAATGTGACCATAGGAAGCTGGGGAGACAGTAGGCAATGTGCATCCATGGGCCAGCATAGAAAGAAGGGGCAAAGTGGAGAGAGAGCAACAAACCCTAGGATGGTGACCCCAGAACAATGAGGGCCTAGAATGACATAATTGTGCTTCATTATGGCCCATTCCCAGCCCTCTCTCTCCCACACACACAGAGCCCCTACCAGGACCAGACAGCTCTCAGAGCAACCCTGGTTCCAACCCCTCTTCCCTTTCCAGAGGACCTGAAAAAGGTGTTCCCACCCAAGGTCGCTGTGTTTGAGCCATCAGAAGCAGAGATCTCCCACACCCAAAAGGCCACACTGGTGTGCCTGGCCACAGGCTTCTACCCCGACCATGTGGAGCCCACACCCAAAAGGCTACACTGGTGTGCTCAAGGCTTACCCCACTCTGCGGGAGCTGAGTCACAGAACGGGAAAGAGCAGTGGGCTGCCACGGCCCACAGCCTCAAGGAGCACAGCTTCACCGACTGCAGAGATACTGCCTGAGCAGCCGCCTGAGAGGCCTGCCACCTTTCTGGCACAACCCCGCAACCACTTCCGGCTGCTGTCCAGCTCTAAGTGGGCCTCAGAGGATGACGAGTGGACTGGGAGGACAGGGACAAGCTCCAGAACACCTGGGGTGATCAGCGCGAGGCTCAGAGGCAGGTGAGTGGGGTCAGGAGTGCCTGAGGAGATTAGTGTGAGACTGCTACTAGGAAATAAGATCCAGCAGGAGGACAAGACCAGATCCAAAAAGAAAGGAACCAGCACGCATTCAGCAGCAGAACTGCACTGTAGTTCATTCTGCCACTTCTCAGCCTAAACAGACAAGCAACTGGTCCCCTTTCTATGTGACCTGTGTATCTCTATCTGAGTGGAGACCTCTAGCTCTTTCAGTGCTGCCACATGCCATGGATTGTACACAAAGGAGACACAATGCAGAGGAAAGGAGGTGCTGGCTGCCGATAGCTGGTCTGGGCTCGGGAGTCTTAAAGCAACTGCAAATCTGACTTTACTTTTCATTGCTCTAAGAAATGAGGTTCTCATTATTTTCCTTCCTGCTTTCTTTCAGACTGCATTGCCCTCGGCAAGTAAGCCCTTCCTTTCCTCCTCTCTGATGGTTCTGATCTAGAACTGGGCGGCATGAAGAATCACAGACACCTGGAGGGTGGAGGGTGGAGGGTGGGAGAGACCAGAGCCACCTGGGCACAGCACTGCCCTGTCCTTCCTCCTGCCAACAGTGTCCTATCACCAGCAATGAACTGCCACCATCCTAGAGATCCTGCTGGGGGGCCACCTGAAGGTTGTAGCTAGTCAGTGGCCTCTGTGCTGATGGCCATGGTAAGTTGTGTAGAGGGCAGGATAAGCAGAGGCTGAGGTGACATTGATACCAAGCAACTCAGACCTGTGAAGACAGAGGCTCCCACAGGTTGGAGCGGGCATAGGGAGGGAAGAGGTTTGGTCCAGGTGCCTGAAGAGCTGCACTCCTCTGTAGGATCACAGTGGAAGGCTGCATAAAGAAGCTGAGCCACCTGAAACTCAATGATGTTGTGATGAGCCTTAGTTTATCAGGCGGTCAACAGACCCTACTACTTCTCTCAATCCTCATAACCTGGTTTGAATAACTCCCCTAAAGCTTTCTTCTGGTAGTCAAGAGGAAGGATTTCTGAAGGCGAGTTTCTGAAGGGAATTAGAGCTTCAATCCACGTGATTTCACATATATCTTTCTTTGCCAGTGCTTCAGAAGAGCTGCCTTTCACTCTCTCTACATCTCAATAGATATCTCTGAGGCACGCACGCCTGCACACTCACGGCTGAAATCTCCTTCAACTCAGGCACTTTAGCATTCCAAGTGCGACTAAGCCAATAAAAATACTGATCTGTCTGACTTCTGAGTTGTGAATGTCTGGGTAGCTCTTGGCTGTCTCTGAACTCCCTGTGACTTCTCCCATTCAGTCAGATAGAAAATGAGGTACCAGTGAAATGACTCTCCACATAAGAAGAGTAAGGGGCCCACCTGAGACTGGCAGTAGATAATCACTGAAAGGTGATGGGAGCTGAAGAGGTTACTCAGAACAGGGTCTTAGGAAGACACAGATGAGAGGAATTTTCTATCCTTAACTATACTGTTCTGCCCAGAAAAGACGTGCAGTTCTGGAGGAAGACACCTCTTATACAGGTGTGTTCACCCTCCAGCTGGCTACATCCCCATGACTAATGTGCTTGGGTTCCATATAATCACCCACCTTCCTCACAGCCATCTCATTGAGCACTCCCCATATATCCTCATTGGTTCACCAAGTTGATTTCCCAGCTCTGAAGAAGAGATGTCGGATCTGGAAACTTATTTTCAATGGAAGATGTGCCCTCCAGTTTGTACTTACTAATCTGTTTATAAATTTCCTCTCTAGTGAATTAAACCAGTGTGAAAATGTCCCCTGATCATTCCCGGAAGGATAGAAAATAAAGTTATCTAAAACTGGAATCAGCCCTCTCCCTACTTTTAGAATTCCTTCAAAAGCTCTCCATTGTCTCACTGTCACCATGGCGATGGAGTCCCAAATCCTGTGGCAGGCACAGAAGACTGACATTTATCCTCCCCGCCTCCTTCCACACTCTCCTCACTTCTCTCATCTCTCAGCTTCCTGAGCTTCTTTCTTCAAGACACTCTTTGCACATGCCTTCCTCCCTGGGGTATACAAAGTACTCTTCTCCCCAGCGGTAACTCCTGTTTAGACTTAAAGATTTAGCTTTCATGTCTTCCTCCAAAACTTCTTCTGGTCTTTTCTTTGCCCCTTCTCTTACCTCTTTCCCCTGAAACTGGATTAAATACACCCTTTATTTGCTATCACAGTGCCTTTGTGTGATAACCCTTTGATACATCACACTTGCTGGAAACTACCTCTTTATTTATCTGATAATTCTGTGGATCATGAACTCCTTGTTAACAAGGATGCATTTGATGATAGTATCCCAGGCTGCAGTATAGAACCTCAAATAGTGTAGACACCACACAGGTATGTATGAATAAAAAATGAATAAATGAGTGAAACCCAAAATGACTCAACCCGAGCAATCATCACCATAAGTCTTTACCCAAATAGCCATTACCCTTCCATTTATAGGACTACACCACACAGTCTTCCCTCTTTGTTGCAACACATACATGCATTCAAAGATGCATGTGTGCTGGCAGACCACGTGTATATATATATGTTTGTATTTACACACATGTACATGCATCCACTCATTAAATACATATCTCCTGAGGTTGTTAATAACTTCCAAGAAAATTAAGATACCCAATTACAGTCCCCAAGAAGCTTATCTGTTCACAGAGCGACTCAATCATGAACAGAAAGAGCCGCATGCAAGTCCATGCTTTGAAAGAGCAACATGAACTGCTTACTAAAATACAGTCAGAGAACGGTCTCACCTTCTTACTGGGATAACTGTGGAAAGAGTCTGAGAAGGTGGCACCCTTCAAAGGAAGAATTGGTCTCACACCCACTCCAGAGAATGGCCATGCTGATCAGAGGCATACATGCGCCTAATGACATGGTTAGTGCCTCTGGGTAGGCCCATTTAGCTGGTTGCAAGTGTTCAGAAATGTGAGTAATCAAAATTAGCGCTGGAAAGGAGGGGTTGAGCACGCCACTTGGGAACAAACTTATCTCCATGCACCAGCATGAGCCTGCATATGGCGGAAGGATCACTAAACACTTGTGGAGTAAATGAAGACTCTGGAGTTCGACTTTGCTCAGGAAGCAACGTGAATAAAAAGGAAATTACAGAGGTTTCTGATTGTTTGTCCTCCCCAAGTCATATGGTACCATCCACTGCTCTGTGGATTTTTCTCATGAGCTGCCCTGCCACTCGCCCTCCCACCAATTTCACTAGTAAATGCCAGTCTGACAGGAAGAAGGTGAGCCCCACCTAGAGACCCAGCACATAGATGGTTTGCTCAGGCGGCATGTTCCAAGCGATGGGGCTCCTCCACCCCCCTACCATTACCATCACTGCGATTTCCCCAAGCCTTCCCATTTTAATTTACTGCCTGTGTCTTTTCCAAGTCTACCACACAATCAGACTACCTGCCACTCCACGCTTCCTGCCTCTGCCCAGTGGTGGGGGAGGGAGACTATCAGGAGGAAACATTTTTGTATCACGGTGTAACATTGTGGGACTGGGGGAGCACACGATTCAGGCAGAGGAGGTGCTTTTATAAAAAACTGTGCTGCTAAAACATCTCATGCGCCAGCCCAGGAATGGAAGCTACCAGGTAAAGAGTCTCTGGGGCTGTTCCCAGCTGCTGTTCCAGGGTCCTCCAACCCAGCGAGCCTGTCCATCGTCCCACCCACTCAGCTTCCTTGTGGAATAAGAAGGCCAAGACAGCGGGCGGATTATCACTCAGCACTTTTAATAAAACTTGTTCTTGATAAAAGTACGGCACATGCATTATTTATTAAGACTGATGAAAACCCCAGGAAAGATATCGTCCCATTTTTCCGATGAGGAAACTGAGATCAGAGAGGTTACAGGTCATACAACTAGAAGAGGTGTCTAGCCTTGCACATCGAGCCTGCAGCTCCAGCCGCTCCAGTACTATCAAGGTTCTTCAGATTTCGAATCCACTGTGTTGTCCCTGCCAAGTGGATTCTCCTCTGCAAATTGGTGGTGACCTGCAAGATCTAAGCACTGTCCAGCTAATCGAGACAGGAAGAGACAGGCCCAGGAAAGAGAGGAGGGTGTGCTCTTACCTGCCATGGAGGTGGGGAAAGGAGAAGGAATTCTGGGCAGCCCTTCCTACTGTGCTCCTAATGTGAGCAGTTCTTTGGGCGGTGGCACAGCTGTCACCTGCTAGGTAAGAAGGGGGCTCCAGGTGGAGAGAGGAGGCTGCCCAGCCTGGACAACCCTGGTGAACCCTGTTCTTAGGGGAAGGGACACTGGCCAATCCAGGGCCTCCTCGGGACGGGGTTTGCGCCAGGGTCTCAGGGCTGAAAGCACACCGCGCAGCTGCTCTTGGAGAAGGCTCAGGCTGACCGTGCTGTAAGGAGGCGGTTAGCTCCGGAGCGCCTCCGAGAGGGCGGCATGGGCAGAGTTGAGCAGCTGCCTCACTCCGGAGAGGGGCTGTGCTGAGAGGCGCGGCTGGCGTCTCCGGGGGCGAGGACTGGTCCTGGGTGCTGGGAGGCGATGGGGGTCTCAGCGGTGGAAGGACTCCGAGCTGAGTCTGGGACAGCAGGGCGGGCAGCACCGGCTTTTGTCCTGGGCCTCCAGGCTGTGAGCACAGATACGCAGTATTTCCACCAGGCACCCGCTGACAGTGCTTGAAAGCGGGGCTCCCGCGAAGCCCGGAATGGGAGGGGGCGCCTCCGGGAGGCCGGGGTATAAAGAGGGCCAGCTTGTGCTGCATCTCGGGGCTGTGAGCTGTAACACTGGTACTTCTGCGCTGACCTGCCTCTCAGTGCTGGGTAAGCTGGGCCGCCCGGGATCGGGGAGAGACGGCGCTGGCTTTTGTGTGGGGCCTGGGGCTTGACTCAAGAGACTCACAGTACTGATCAGGCACGCGGCTCCTGGTGCTTCAGAGCGCTGGCTGCAGGGCGCTGGGCGCCGGGCGCCGGTCCTCGCTTTTGAAGTCCTCTGGCTGTGCTCTGGGGCTAACGGGCCCCACTTTAGCGCAGCCGCCGACCGCGGTTGGTAAGTTATAAACACCTGACGGCGTCCGGGTAGAAGGTGGCTGCTTGCACCTGGTCCATTTCCTGCAGCTAGGAGACCTGGGCTGGGTCCCCAAGGTGGTGGTTTCAGGAGCCTTAGTGGTTTGGCGCCGGGTGCACTCTCCGCGCTCCTACGAAAGCAGTACTTCGCCCTGCACCAGGCTCACGGTCATAGGTGTGAGATTCGGCATCTCCCACCTCCCAGCCTCCCGACTCCCTGGGCCGGAGGGGCAGACCGGGGCTGGAGGAGCTGGGTGTCCGGAGCGGGAGGAGCCAGTGTGTCCGGGAGCCGGCTTCTGCAGCGCTACCCTGCCTGTGTTATTACTTGGGAAGAGGGAGGGGGTGGGAGGTGCTCAGAGTCCGGGGGGCTGAGCAGAGGGCGAGCGCTTTAATCTTTTTTTCTGGGGTGTTTAGAGAAGGCGAACGATGGAGAAGAGAGAATTTGTTAGACTTGGGAGAGTTGTAACTGAGAGGATGAAGGGAAATCCTGGCTTGGGAATGGCACTGTGTAACTGCTACTGGTAGGCAAAAAAGAGCTGAGAGGGCTGGGAACAGTGCGGGTGGGCAGGGGTCAGCATTACGGGCAGGTATGGTGGATGTCAGGTGGTGCAGAAATCCTGCAGCCGAGGCAGTAGAACAGAGGCAGGAAAAGCCTGCCAAACAAAAGTGGGACAGAGAGCCAAAAGAGAGATGAACATGAGTCAGTAAAGAATGAAAGTTTACTTTCAAGTGTAGATCTATAATCCGGATCAAAACTCCTGTTCCTGGTCTCTATTCCTCCTAAGCCAGAGATCCCTGTCCAGGTGAGGGCATAGTGCATTCATGCTTGCCCATGGGCTGGTCAGCAAAGAGGTGCTGACCTGAGAGTAGGGCACATAACCTCAGCCACTGGGGTATATACTTACCACCTGCCTCCATGTAGCTCCTCCCCTATCCTGAAATCTCTTTTAGGCAGACTAAGTATTCTAGGATAAAACAGCCCAGAAGTTCAGGAGTTCTCATTTGCCACAAACACATATTTAAATATGACATTTTTGCCTTGAGAGACAAGGAAAATTTCTGAAAGATTTTAGGCCCTGGGAGCTGGGAAAAGGACTCCTAAACATTACCTGGTGACGACTGCCCTGAGGCCAGTGAGAAGAGAACTCACTTATATTGGTATATTAACGCACCATTTGTAATTAGGCTGTCATTAAGCCGGGTGTAGTGGGGCTCAGCTACAGTGAAGGGTCCAGAGGTCGGGAGGTTCCTGCAGTCAACTGGGATGCAGAAAAGACTGGTGAGATCAGAGCCACAGATAGTTAGCTGAGTTTGAACTTTCTGTTCTTTTTGTGATGTGGCACCTTGGCAAATTAATGTGTGTAATTCCAGTTTCTCAACTATAAAATATAATGAACAATACCTACCACTTACTATTGCTGTGAAGAAGAAAAGAGAATCAACATGTAGAGTGCACAGATTATTGATGTAATTCACTGTTTTTTCCCATCCTCCTAGGAGGTCACTGGGAGGCAGGGGGAAGGGTCAGCCAGTGCCAAAGGATGGGCAGGATCTGGAGTATGGAAATGGAGCTGGCTGTGTCTGTGTTAGGACGGGGTTGATGTGGACAACATCACAATTTTGCCTAAGGTGAACCTAACCCACAAGTAGAGTAATAAAGCAACAGCAGCTCACTAGTACACACACTTATACCAGCAGCTCACTAGCATGACACACTTACACCAGCAGCCTACTAGTGCACACACACCAGCAGCCTACTAGGCACATTCTAGCACCCTCCAGAAGCTCATTAGTACACACACACCCTCAGCTTGCTAGTACACACACTTACACAGAAGCTCACTAGCACACTTACACCAGAAGCTCACTAGTCCACACACTTACACCAGAAGCTCACTAGTATACACACTTACACCCACAGTGACAAGCCCCACACTACAGGACTGCCAAATGCAGGAGAGTTGCCCCTGCCCTCATGTACAGATAGTGTGTTGGTGTGCGGTGAGAGGCGGCTAGTATTCACCATGCCTATTGCATCAATAACTATTCTACAGAACAGCATGCATGGTCAAGGGACATTTTTAATTTTTACAATGGGGGCTGAGGTTTAAGAAGTAAATGAAGAGATCAAAGGAGTGCATTCTGAGGGCTGGTGGACTCCCAGAGCCAGGGCTTTTGGAGATGAGAGGAAATAAGCAGGTTGAGCAGAAAGCAGGCGAAAGTGCTGCAGATAGAAGTTAGGATATCATCATTTAGCCCCAGCCCAGCTAGTAAAGACTTAGAAGCATAGTGGTAATTAGCAAGGTAGGAGTTGTGGGGAGGAAGGGAAATTGACATGATGGGAAGCAGGATCAGCTACAGAATTTGCAGGACTAGCTCAAATGAAAATGCGGGGCTCTGTTAAAAACGATTTAGGATTTCAAAATGGTGACAGCAGCACACTAAACTAAGCAGAGAGCCCTTCCAGCAGGAGGCCCTATGGGGACCCAGGAAGGAGGGTCACATCCACAAATGTGAAGAAATGTCAGAATAAATTTTCCATTGTCCAGGAGATTCTAGAATAGGTTCTCCTAAGAATGATATTTCTTCACTTTAATAGAGTTGCTCGAAATGAAACGCAAATAATCAATGGGAAGAAAAAGAAAAAAAAAGATAAGATGAGAGTAGGAGGGCAGGTCCAAGTAGTAATTCAACCAAATGAGAAGGATCCTCAGGATTAAAAGGGGATGCATTTACATGTCATCCTCAAAATCTACAAAGGATATGCTCAGAGAAACTGTATCAACACAACTAGTAGCAAGAAATTACTCTGATCATATCAGATGTTTATTTGGGGAACTTTCTTGTAGAAAAGCACATACATAATATTTGATGCAAAGGGACACAGAAGGTTGAAGGGTCCCTAATTTTGAGATAAGGGAAGATACTATCTGTCTGAGCTGAGAAAATCCCAGAGTACCTGGAGGCAGAGGAATGGATAAGATGACTATGCACCACAAAAAGAAAACCTCACATTCTCATGAACACACTAAAACCAAAGGCTGTCCTCATGTGAGTGCAAAAAATAGGCCATTTGTAAATCTAAAGAAAGCCCCTAGTTCCAAAATGCCTCCCTCATCCCAGATTCTTCCTAGCACCTTAGATTTGAGCAGTAAATAACTTCTTGGGAGGGGGATGAATTCGTACATAATTTAACCTTCACACACTTCTTTTCTGCAAAGTCAGAATGGTAAGATTCATACTTCACAAGCAGAAAAAGTGATAGGAATTTCTAGGCAAAGTCTTACTATGGACAAAGGAAGTTCTAGGATTTGGATCTTGTTTTTGGGGTTCCAATCCCTTTGCTCCAGTTAAAAAACTACCACATAAAATGGTGAGAAGTAGGTAGGCAAGTTGTTATTGATGGAGAGGAAATCAAATAATGGCAATGAAGAGACATTGCTCAGAATGTTAGGCAGTGCCTAATTGGGAGATGGACAGACAATGGATAGTGCCAACCCATAGGGTGGATACAAAAGACAGGCAAGGAAGGGGTAGAACCATCAAAGAGGAATAGGCTGGTGACTCCAAAGCAAGGAGGACTTAGTAACGCACTGTGTTTCATTATGGTCCTTCCAGCCTCCTCTCTTCACATACAGCAGAGACTTACCAGGACCAGATAGCCTCTCAGAACAGCCCCAGCTCCTATCCCCCTTCCCTCCAGAGGACCTGAAAAGGTGTTCCCACCTGCTGCTTGCTGTGGTTTGAGCCATCAGAAGCAGAGATCTCCCAGCACCCAAAAAGGCTACGCTGGTGTGCCTGGCCAGAGACTTCTACTCCCGGCTCATGTGGAGCTGAGCTGGTGGGTGAACGGGAAAGAGGTGCACAGTGGGGTCAGCACAGACCCACAGCCCCTCAAGGAGCAGCCAGCCTCACCGACTCCAGATACTGCCTGAGCAGCCGCCTGAGGTCTCAGCGCCACCTTTCTGGCACAACCCCGCAACCACTTCCGCTGCTGCCAAGTCCAGTTCTTGCGGCTCGGAGGATGACGAGTGGGACTGAGGACAGGACAAGCCCATCACCTAAAAAGATAAGTGCCGAGGCCTGGGGTAGAGCAGGTGAGTGGGGCCTGGGGAGATGCCTGGAGGAGACTGGGTGAGGCTGGCTACCAGGGAAGATAAAAAGATATAAATAAAGGACAAGACTAGATCCAGAAGAAAGTCAGAGTGGACACGGTGGGACGATCAAGGAAGTGATCGTCCTTGATCCCTCTTCCTCCCCAAGAAGCATAGAGGCTGAATGGAGCACCTCAAGCTCATTCTTCCTTTAGATCCTGACACCTTAGAGTTCAGCTCTCAGATCCCCCTGAGGACAAGCCATACAGCTCAGCACCTGAGTGGTGTGTGGCCCATCCCCTTCTGGGGTCCTGGTTTCCTAAGATCATAGTGACCACGTCGCTGGCACTGGAGCAGCATGAGGGAGACAGAACCAGGGCTATCAAAGGAGGCTGACTTTGTACCATCTGATATGCATGTGCTTGTGGCCTGTGAATCTGTGATGTAAGGCTCAGTGTCCTTACAAAGCAGCATTCTCTCATCCATTTTTCTTCCCCTGTTTTCTTTCAGACTGTGGCTTCACCTCTGGTAAGTGAGTCTCTCCTTTTTCTATCTTTCACCGTCTCTGCTCTGGAACAAGGGCATGGAGAATCCACAGACATGCGGGCGTGAGGGAGGCCAGAGCTACCTGTGCACAGGTACCTACATGCTCTCTGTTCTTGTCAACAGAGTCTTACCAGCAAGGGGTCCTGTCTGCCACCATCCTCTATGAGATCTTGCTAGGGAAGGCCACCTTGTATGCCGTGCTGGTCAGTGCCCTCGTGCTGATGGCCATGGTAAGGAGGAGGGTGGGATCGGGCAGATGATGGGGGCAGGGGATGGAACATCACACATGGGCATAAAGGAATCTCAGAGCCACGGCACAGCCTAATATATCCTATCATCTCAATGAAACCATAATGAAGCCAGACTGGGGAGAAAATGCAGGGAATATCACAGAATGCATCATTGGAGGATGGAGACAGCCAGTGAGCCCTACTCAAATCAGGCCTCAGAGCCCACCTCCTCTGCCCTATTCCTGCTGCGCCATAGCCCCTGAGACCCTGAAAATGTCTTCTCTTCCGCAGGTCAAGAGAAAGGGTTCCTGAGGCTAGCTCCAAAACCATCCCGGGTCATTCTTCATCCTCACCCAGGATTCTCCTGTACCTGCTCCCAATCTGTGTTCCTAAAAGTGATTCTCTCTCTGCTTCTCACCTCCTTATGTGAATACTTCCCTCTTTTTGCTATTTCCCTGAAGATTGAGCTCCCGACCCCCAAGTTTGAAAAAGACTAAACCAATAAAAAATGGTTGTGCTGAGCCTGGTCGCATTTCAGGAGTGTCTGTGGAGCTCTGCTCATCACTGACTTATCTTCTAATTTAGGGAAAGCAGCATCCGCTTGGGCATCCGAAGTGACTAGCCCTCTCTCCACCCTATGCTGCTTCCTCCCGTTCATCCTGATGGAAGTCCTCAAACACCATTTCCAAACCCAGGCATTCTGGGTCCCCACTGGAGGGTTAGTCTGAAGGGCAATGGCTGGGCTCTGGAAAACCAACAAGATGAGGACAGAGAGAAAGGCACACAGTAAACCACAACCCCTTACCCAGTGTAGGACAGAGGATTGGGGCAGGCCTATGGGTTACAATATCTAGTCATTTCCTAATTCCAGATTAAAGTGTCACATGTTACACCTTTAGTTTTATTCGTGTATAGTCTTAACACCTCCAGCTTATCTTGTTTCAGGATTTGGGCTTAAAATTGAGTGCTACTCTGCATGTCTAGGTTGAAATACTAGAGAAGGCAGAGTTGAGACAACTGATATGTAAAGCCTGGGGATGAGTGATTTCCCAGGAGCAAGACACACCAAGTCAGGAGCAATGGGACATAGGGCTCAGTGGGGGCTGAAGTGCTATGTTCAGAGTAGCCCTTCCAATGGGCTTCTGCATTTGATGGATGGAAACTCAATCACTCCAAACACAAGGTGTTAACCACTCCTACTTGGGCAAAGACAGTTATCCTGACAAGGTAAATTCTGCATACAGGCTGAATGCATTGTGGTAAAACACTACATGAATGGGATTAAAGAAAAGGAGGCCTGTAACAGTGAGAAGGGCTGAGAGAGGCCATATCAAAATTAATTGAGGCAGACTGTCAGGGAAGAGAAGCGAAGTCTGAAAGCAGAGAAAGGGTGGGAAAGAGAAGGGAGCCCTTTGTTGAGAGCCTGCTTGCTTCAGGCATTGGGCTGGACACTGCTACCTGTGCTGTCTGCATCTGTACCATGATCCCAGGAGTAGGTATTACTTTCCCTACGTTATAGATGTGGAAACTGAAGATTACAGATCAAATCACTTATGAGTGGTGAAACCATGGCATATTCTGTTTTGAAGATGGCAATTCCAGAAACTTTTCCCAAGTAGTGGCCAGCTTGATGGGATTGCTCCTGGTGTCTGGGTGATCCTAGAGCAGCTTCTCCGAAACTCCGGGCGGGGCCCACGGTAACACACTGAAGACACCTTAATGCTTTGGTGTCTTTGCTTCCCCAGGCTGTCATAACAAAGTACCACTGGTGGGTTTAAAACAATAAAAACTTATTCTCTCACAGTTCTGGAAGCCAAAGATACAACATCAAGATTTCAGCAGGTCAGCCTCTATGAAAGTTCTGGGGGAGAATCCTTTCTTGCTTCTTCCCACTTCTGATGGTTTCTGACACTCCTTGGCTTGTGCTAGCATCGCAGCAATCTCTGCCTCTGTATTCACATGGCATTTTTCCCTGCGTCTCTGCATTTAAGCTCCCCTCTCCTTTCTCTTTTCAAGGCAAGGTCATTGGATTTAGGACCCATCCTAAATCCAGAACAATTTTATTGAGAAATCTTAACCAATTATACCTGCTAAGTCCCTATTTCCAAATAAGGTCACATTCTGAGTTTCTGAGTGGGCACGAATTCTGGGGCAACACTCTTCATCCCACTACACTGGGGATCTTGGAACTAGAGAAGAGGGTTCTCTGGTGGCAGCTTGCAAAGACCAGGAAAGGATGTGCCCACGGCAGGGATGGGGCCCAGGAAACTCATCACATGCCAGTCATTTCCATCAGTTGTAACTATCTCTAGATTGCTCAAACTGCAGTATGGTATTTTGTTGACTATTGTTGTTACATATGTGTTGGTTTGTTTTTATATTGGCTAAAAAAAAAGCCTAAAACAAAGGGGAAAGGTTTTAGGCCTTAGACCAGCATTCACAAAGCATGCTTCCCATTCCTTAGGCCTGGGTGGAGGCAGCAGGCATATCCTTGTGGCTCCTCACAAAGGTAGGACAGGAGGAGGAGGAGCCAAGGGAACAAGGAAACACTTCAGAGAGAGCAGAGTTGTGGGGGCCAGAGGACGCAGGCTAGGACTGAGGCATTGGAGGATAGTGGTTTGTGTGGTCAGAGCTGTGAGGGGCTGAGCAGCTGTAGTGCAAGATCAGAGTGGAGGTGGGGAGGGGGAAACACCTTGTAGAAGAAAGATGGTATCTGTTAGTTTGGTGGCCATGATCTTGGGGATGTGGAAAATGGAGGCATTAGCAGGTGGGAGGATGTGGGAGGAGTTTCTTGTTGGTACCCTAGAGTTTGTAACCAGACCAAGGTGAATGAAATCTCCTCTGGAGGATAAAAGGCCATGTGCATTTTACTCTCAGTCCAGGGGACTTGACAGAGATGGAGAGAGCTTCAAGCTCCATCTGGTCTTCCCGACACCCTACTTGACCCAGGGCAGGTTCCTCTTCCCAAGTTTTTACAGCCATTTCCTTGTCTCTCTCAAACAACACCCCCAACATTCAGCACACATGCACTGGGAAGTGAATCTCTTCTGCCTCTACCTGCCTCTTTCTCTAGAATCGAAGTGGATTCTTCTGGGCCAATTCTGGGCATCCTCTCCATTTTTCCTCAGGTAACACTGAGAAATGATGAGTTAGATGTAGGGCAATCATATAACTTACTGTAAGAATTGAGATACCATTGAGAATGAAAGGGGCCACTAGCCACATGGGATGTTGGAACAAGAGGTGTAAACCAGGAATGGTCACAAGGTCCCTCCATTGGAGAGGCTCGGAGGGAGTTTCTGGGTGCAGCATTATTCCTGCAAAGGGAGGCACTAAAGAGACTCTACATCAACCTGGACTTGTTGACTGGTTCAAACCTCAGGGCTGACCTAAGCATTATCCTATTAAGAAACTATGTGGACAGAATATAGGGCAAGGCAGGGGCAACAGCATCCTACACAGGTGACAGGCAGTGCAGAGCAAAGCATGGTTACTTGTTCAAAAGAGTGACAAGATATGCGTCTCTGGAAGAATGCTCAGGGTACCCCAAGTTCTCGCTGAACTTACCATGGGGTAGCTCTTAAAGAGAAGAACTTCACCTGTGACCTTTACAGATTTATTTGGGAAATTGGAAGAAAAAGGGGGTCATCCAACTGGTCGCCTAATAAAATAACTTCTTTGTGGGGGAAATGGGATTCCTGTAGGCATCCCAGAGCTCCAGTCACCATCACTTCCCTAGAGGAAGAATCTTCCCACTAGAACCAGTATCCACAGAGATTTTCCTACTACTAGGCTTATTGCTGGTCTATACAAGGTGGGGGAGTGGGGATGGTCGGGAGCTGCTGGGACCATCCAAGAGAAAAAGGCTTTTTCTCTTTCAAGGGAGTGATTTCATAATAAGAGTTTGAGTTAAGGGCAATGGATCCTAATAGATATTACAGTCTCCATTTCCTGCCCTGAGCCATTTCCTCATTTTTCTTCTGTAGTGGCCCAGAAAGGAGGGCTGGAGATAGACCGACATCAGCCCCTAACAGTCTGTGTGACACACGGCCCCAAATGTCCTATATAGGAGAATCTGTGTGAGGTTTCTCTGGTTATAAATGAATGTGAGAATGGAATATTGGTGCTTTGAGACCTCTGTTGAAGCTGTATAGTGAAAACAAAAATGTGTTTTTACTTCTTCCTCAGGTAATGCTGAGCAAAGATGTCTAGCCGTTTTTTTCATTTAGGGGTGTTGGGAGATGCTGGTGGAGAACATGGGAATGGCTAAAACCCACAGGTGAACTCAGCTTTGCCATGGACCCATGAGTGAATCCATTTTCTGCTTCTCTACTGACATCTTAGACTCATCCCCAGGTTTACTTTCACCATGTCCTGGAAACTCCCCTATACTATATAAGATGACTCATAGTATAGCATGGCATGAAGCATGGCCAACAGTTTTAATTACAGTTCATTTCCATTGCTTGTGGCAAACTCCCGTGGCTCCCAAAAAGCTGATTTCTGAGCCTTGGGACCTCATAACCTAAGACTTTACCCAACCTACCTAGACTCAAAACACAACATATTCCCTGTCTTATTCTAGGGTTGAATATTCTTTCCTCCTATCCAGAAGCCTTTCTTTTCTTGCTCTCTGTGTTTGTGAATTGGAAGTTCCTGGGTTCCTTAACATCCCTACATCTCTACCTGTCCTTAAGATTTATTGTGGCAGAACTTGGTCTTTCCCTGAACCATCTCCCTCCAGCAGACACGATATTTTCTATTCACCATCCCCCTCTCCTGCAGACTCAACTACATGTCTTTCTCTCCCATCTCTATCCGTAGTCTTTATCTCTGTTGAGAGGGCTTTTGGGGAATATGGGGTCCCAAAAATGAGTGAATGGCTTCTATAGGTCAGCAAAAAGGATCTGAAAATGAGCCTACACCTGTGACTATTTCCAAAGGATTTTTATCAGCTTGCTTTGCAACTGATCTCAACTGCCCTCTTTGAATATGAGCATTTAATCCACACAACATGTAAAGCTAAGTCTCAACTCCTTTTTGCCAACCTACAGTTGCTACTCACTTATCTCGGGGACCCCATATTCCCCTAAAAGCCCTCTCAGATGTCTACATGCAACAGAGTGCTCATGTTCTGGCAAGAACCCGTAAACCTATGCAAGACAGAATCATTAGAAACTTTAAAACTTGAGTTTTCAGAATGGAAAAAAGCATGTAGTAGATGGATGAAAACATTATCATAGCAAAGAAGATGTTTTAATGCAGAGACCTGGGTTTAAGCCTTAGTTCTGCCATTTATCAACTACGTGACCCTGGGCAGGTGATCACCTCTGAGACTCAGTTTTCCTTTCTGTAAAATGAGCTCAATTACAAGCCCAACTTCATAAGATGGTTTTATCTAATTTAACCCACACAACATGTAAAGCTTTTAGAACAACATCAGTAAGTAGTAGGTGTTGTTATAAATACTACTAGCATGAAGATTTTTTTCAGGCTAAACATTTTCAGTTTTCTCAGTTTTG